TTGGGTTTATTTAATGAAACGTCGTTCTGAATTTTTTGAGATATACTTAGCCTTTCGTGCTCTTGTTAAAACTCAACATTCTGTTGTTATAAAATATTTTAGGTGTGATTTGGGTGGGGAATACACTTCTAATAAATTTTGTGAGCTGCTTGCTTTAGATGGAACTATTCACCAAACTTCGTGTATAGATACTCCTGAGCAAAATGGTGTTGTTAAAAGAAAACATAGGCACATTGTTGCAACTGCTCGTTCTCTTGTTGTCTGCATCTGTCCCTAGTGTGTTTTGGGGTGAAGCTGTTCTTACTGCTGTAAGTTTGATTAATACAATTCCATCTTCTCATATTTCAGGGTTTTCTCCTTTCGAAAAGTTGTATGGGTATGCCCCTAATTATTCTCTCTTTAGAGTTTTTGGTTGTACTTATTTCGTTCTTCGTCCTCATGTAGAACGCAACAAATTGTCATCTCGATCTGCAATTTGTGTTTTTCTTGGTTATGGTGAAGGTAAAAAGGGGTATCGTTGTTTTGATCCAATAACTCAGAAACTTTATGTGTCTCGTCATGTTGTTTTTCTCGAGCATATATCTTTCTTTTCTATTCCATCCACTACTTATAATCTGACTAGATCTGATCTTATTCGTATAGATCCTTTTTCTGACAATCCTGATAGTTTGTCTTCTCAGGAGCCTACTACTTCAAATGTTCATTCTCATGTTCCTACCCGTTGTCTTTACAACCAACTCGTACTAATCATTCCGTAGGTACTGACATTTTACTCTCCGGCACACCTGAAGCGTCCTCTTCTCCTACGGTCCCTCAAGCTCCGTCTGAGATTGTGGATCCGCCTCTACGTCAACCCATACGCATTCGTAAGTCTACAAAGTTACCAGATTTTGCTTATTTTTGTTATTCTTCATCATTTTCTACCTTTTTAGCTTCTATTCATTGTCTCTCTCAGCCCTCTTCCTATAAAGAGGCAATTCTTGATCCTCTTTGGCAGCAAGCTATGGATGAGGAACTTTCTGCTTTGCATAAGACTGGTACTTGGGATTTGGTTCCTTTACCTTCTGGTAAGAGTGTTGTTGGTTGTCGTTGGGTGTATAAGATCAAGACTAATTCTGATGGGTCAATTGAGCGATACAAAGTTAGGTTGGTTGCAAAGGGATACTCTCAACAGTATGGTATGGATTATGAGGAGACATTTGCTCCTGTTGCAAAAATGACTACTATTCGTACTCTTATTGCAGTAGTTTCGGTTCGTTAGTGGCGTATCTCTCAACTTGATGTTAAAAATGCCTTCCTGAATGGAGATTTTCAAGAAGAGGTTTATATGGCACCCCTTCCTGGTGTTTCACATGATTCTGGGTATGTTTGCAAGCTCAAGAAAGTGTTGTATGGTCTTAAACAAGCACCTCGTACTTGGTTTGAGAATTTTCTGTTGTGATCTCTTCCCTTGGATTTGCTTCTAGTAGTCATGATTCTGCTCTTTTTGTTAAGAGCACTGATGCAGGTCGTATCATTCTATCTTTATATGTTGATGACATGATTATTACTGGTGATGATATTGATGGTATTTCAGTTTTGAAGACAGAGTTACCTAGACAGTTTGAAATGAAAGATTTGGGTTCTCTACGATATTTCTTGGGTATTGAGGTAGCCTTCTCACCCAGAGGTTATCTTCTTTCTTAGTCGAAATATGTTGCAGATATTCTTGAGCGGGCAAGACTTACTGATAATAAGATTGTTGATACTCTAATTGAGGTTAACGCGAAGTATTCTTCTTTTGACGGTTTACCTTTGTCAGATCCTACTTTATACCGTACTATTGTTGGGAGTTTGGTATATCTCACTATTACTCGTCCAGATATTGCATATGCTGTTCATATTGTTAGTCAGTTTGTTGTTTCTCTCACTACAGGTCATTGGGCAGCTGTTCTTCGCATTTTGCAATATCTTGGGGGTACAGTCTTTCAGAGTCTGTTACTTCTATCCACCTCCTCCTTGGAGCTGCGTGCATACTCTGATGCTGATCATGGCAGTGATCCCACAAATCGCAAGTCTGTTACTGGTTTTTATATCTTTTTGGGCGATTTTCTTATTTCTTGGAAAAGCAAGAAACAATCTATCGTTTCTCAATCTTCCACCGAAGCAGAATATCGTGCTATGGCATCTACTACTAAAGAGATTGTTTGGTTACGTTGATTACTTGCAGATATAGGAGTTTTTCTTTCTCATTCCACTCCTATGTATTGCGACAACCAAAGTTCTATTCAGATTGCTCACAACTCGATTTTTCATGAACGAACTAAACACATTAAGATCGATTGTCATCTTACTCGTCATCATCTCAAGCATGGCACAATTACTTTGTCCTTTGTTTCTTCTTCTTTGCAGCTTGCAGATTTTTTTACCAAATCGCATTCTATTTCTCGATTTCGCTTTCTAGTTGGCAAACTCTCGATGCTTGTAGCTATCGCATCGTGAGTTTGAGAGGAGATGTTAAGAAATATAGAATTATTTATTAATTATTAAGGGTAGAATAGTCCTTTTTAGTTTCCTTTGTTTAGTCTATATATATTCTCTTTGTATTTAGGTTAAACCATCTTTTAGCATTCAATTAATTAATGTAGTATCAATGAAACCCTAGTCTCCTCCTTTTTCTTTTGGATTGTTTAACAGCCAAGAGTTCCTCATAAACTAGAGGTCGGACGAAGTTTTTTGTTGATAACCTTGGACTGATGGATTAAACGTTGATTAATATGTAACCATTTATTTGGTTTCATTTTTCTCGACATTCAGTTTGATATATGACTTTGAAACTTATTTTTCCGGGAACGATATCAAGTGCAAATTCTTTTAAGTTAATGTAATATGTGGAACAAGCTTGTGCGCCTAAGTATACCATTTGATAGGATATTTTGATTTTGATCACATTTAGTCTTGGAGTTTTATCTTAAAAAAAACGTCTATCCTGTTAACAGTGGTAGTTCAAATTCTTGTATATTGAATATTATCATATTTAAACAAAAGTGAAATTTCAACTTACATCTAAGAGATGTCGAGAAATTAATCTGTATGATTCTATTTCAGAGGAAGATAATTCTTGTTTCCATCTAAAATAGTAATCTAAGGAGGTGTTTGAGTCATATTATTTTGGTAATAATGCATTCTTGAATAGTGTATTGATGAGAAATGTATGGTTAAAAATTAAAGAAAAGTTTTTGATCTGCGTGTAATATTATTTTATTGAAAAATGTGTGGTTGAAATGATATCAAATCACTGTTTAAGAATGTATTTTTTTAAAATAATGTGGCTCAAACATGCTCTAAGTAAACTTTTTGAGCAATGGTAGCCTTGTTTTTATACTATACAAACTAATTTATATGAAAATCTATAGGCACGTATGGTCTTAGGCACCAGGATCCAATGACTCATTCTGCTGATGTAAAATAAAAAGACAGAACTGTTCACTTAATTAATAATTAATTAATCTCCTTTCTCGGAATAAACAACTGTGTATTTCTCAAAAACAGTATAACAAATGACCAATCAATGAACAGAAAAATATCTGTGCTTACGCGATTAGGTAAATAATATAGTAATTTGTCACAACAGAGGACACAGGAAACTGAGTTTGAAATATTGTTAGGTTTACGTAATTAGGGTAATGCTTTAATAATTTTTCTTGGTGGGGCTTAAATTAATATGAACCACAGAGAAAACCAGTAAATTAAAGCCTATGTTTGGCTCAATAAATGAATGTTATAAACTGTTTATAAATATTTAAGTCATTTTTGAATCGAAATATTTTGAGGGGGTCACAAGTATTACTCACTTGTTCATCACTCATTTTTATTTATTTATAATTTAAATAGTTTATAAACACATACATGCTTTAATCATTTCTGGTGTTGAACAATGGAACTAGATCTCGATTTAGAGATATATATGTGCCTTCTCTTTAGAAAGATGAAATAGTTTAACAAAGTATAATAGTAGACAAAAGTGGATTAGCTATCATAAGCTCAAGAAAATTTTGCATGTGTAAGACATTTAATGAAAATATTTTAAATTTATTTTCTTTTCTACATGTTCTGTGAGATATTGTGTGCAAACATGCAATAACCTGATTACATAAAATTTTTGATAAATAATAGGAGAATATGTGCTCTAATTTTGATAAAAATTAATTATATAAACCGATATGTAATGAAAATATTGCAGACAAACATACCTGAATAATAAAATAGTTGCAAATTTTAACTCCCCCCCGCCCCCACCCCGGCCTTTAGATGTTCATTCTTGGTCATTGCAAACTTCAATCAATATAGCCACTGTTTAGTTCAAATTAAAATTTAAGTCAAAGTGGATTACACTACTAAAAAACAGAGTTTTAGGTACGGATTTTTCGTTCCTAAAGTCTCAATATCCGTTGTTAATAATCTTCACCAACGGAATATTTGCAACCACAAATCCGTTGGTAATTTGAGAGTTGCTAATAGTTACCAACGAATCATGTCGTAGGTAAAGAGTAAATATTTTACTAACGGATTTTTCGTTGGTACAGTGTGAATCTTTTACCAACGGAATTTTCGTTCGTAAAAGTCTTAACCAATACCAACCAACTTTTCGTTGGTAAATGTCTATCATTACAATTGGTAAAAATCAATGTTGTAAATAACCGTATAGTAAAAAAGTTATTTATTTATTTTTTATTATTTTTATTATTATTTATTTAATAATTATAATATATTTTTTATTTTTAGCTAACTGAATTGAAATGCCAAAATATTGTTTAACTCTTTATTGGACAACAAATTTATAGAAGGCAACTACAAAAATATTGTTGTAAACTTCCGATGTGAGATAAGTAAATTATTTTTACCAACGAAATATCCGTTGTTGAAAGATCAAAATATTAAACGGTTATATTAGACACGGAATATCCGTTGGTAAAGAGAGATCATTTTTACTAACGGATAATCCGTTTCTAATTACCAACAAAATATCCGTAGGTAAAAAATCAAAATGTTAAACGATTATATTAGATATAGAATATCCGTTGGTAAAGAGATATCATCTTTACCAACAAAAAATCCGTTGCTGATTATTGTAGCTAAAAGTGAATTACTTTTACCAACGGATGCAATTCGTTGGTAATATTCACTACATCACCAACGGAAAATCCGTTACTAATTATCGTAGTTAAAAGTGAATTACTTTTACTAACGGATAATCCGATTCCATCCGTTGGTAATTTTTTGTAGGTGAAAAGCTGTTTTTTAGTAGTGTTAGCTATCGTACGTCCAAGAAAATTTTGCATGTGTAAGACACTTGATGAAAATATTTTAATTTATTTTCTTTGTTAAACATGTTCTGCAAGGTATTGTGTGCCAAACATGTAGTGACTTGATTACATAAATTTTTTGATCAATAATAGGAGAATATGTGCACTAATTTTGATAAAAATTGATTATATAAACCGATATGTAATGAAAATATTGCAAAAAAACATAATTGAATAAGAAAATAGTCGCAAATTTTAACCTTTTCCCCCTTATATATGTTCATTCTTGGTCTTTGCAAACTTCAATCAATATAGACCATGTTTGGTTCAGATTAAAATTTAAATTAAAGTCAACAATTAATTTAAATTATATATTTCATGAAATCTACAACTTTTCAACTATATATTTCATTAAATTTTATCGAAATTTATTAAAAAACTGATTTTTATCTAAATGAAACAGGTGACAGTATAATTTTAATCATTATTGGGACAAATAGTAGAAGAACATGTTCACAAGTTTTGCCCGAGACATGACAGAAAATCTATATAAAAAGAAATATGATATATTGCCTTCTTTAGCTCTGCATGGGACACTCGAGTTACTTATTCTCGTCTCAAGTAGCTTAAACTTTTCATGAAGGGTTACACTCTTATTTCTATTCTTTCTCTCTCCTATTTGAGAGTGAATAGGAAGATTAACGTCCCAGTATTTAAGGAGAGAGACCGAGTGGCAAAAGCAATATTCAGGGAGACTGAGACGGGGCGGAGAGATGGGTTTCATGGCTGTTTTAGGCGAAATTGTGCCATCCACTTCGATGGTAATGGTGGAGGGTTCCACCATTGGCTTGACTATATTGGCTAGCACCGCCATTTCTAAAGGAATGAGCCCTTTTGTGTTTGTTGTCTACACCAATGCAATTGGCTCTATCATATTGCTTCCTTATTCCTTTCTTTATGATAGAAATACGTATGATCTCAATCTCTTACATTCACGTAGACTTAGATATCTCTTATTTCTCTATTGAATGATTTTGTTTAATGGGATTTGGAATGAGATTGATGACTCTTATTGAAATAAATTTTTTTTTCTAACACACAATTGCATACAAAATCACGCTACAATGTAAGAAAAATTTGACAGAAAAGTTAATATAATGTCACGTGACATTTTATTATTAGACTGATTAAAATACAGTTAACCTATCCATCCAATCATCTTCTACCACCACTTCTTCTATCATTGTATCTGTCAATTCTTTTTGGCAAATTGGGATAATCGTTGCATGCATGCTTAAAGCTTTAACTAGTCCCTAGTTAGACAATTCATGTCATGATTTATCTCTTTGCAGATCGGAAATGCCATTATTGACCTTACCTTTTCTCGTTCGAGTATTCTTCCTTGGTTTAATCGGGTTCGTTTTCTCTCGTGTTTGATCTATTTCTTTGTTCCCGTGCCTGATAAGGATTCAATATGATATAGAACGATAAAATATCAAGTTAATGACGTTGTAACGATATGACGATCAATAAGTTCAGCCAACTTTAAGTTATTATTTTGGTGGAACTAACCTTGCAGGGTGACAATGGCACAGAACCTTGCATTTCTTGGTTTAAGTTACAGCTCTCCAATTGTTGCAATTGGCATGGCGAACATAATCCCTGCTATATCTTTCCTTCTTGCTATAATTCTCAGGTTCTTTCTCAAACTTAAACTTTTAGAACCTAAGGGGTCGGATACTCATCTTTTTTAACATCTTTCATGCTATATCCCGGGAACACAAGCCAGTTTCTTGTTAAAGTTTAATTTAAACTCTTTATGAGGAGGTTGAGTTCATTTCCTATTCAAAAAGACGACAAATGTTTAGTTTCCAAGAACGAGTGTCAATGATATTCAAAACCCACAACTTTATT